GGCTGCTCAGTTACTCCCTCCAGACATTATAAGCTCTTGCTGAGACGACCTTGATTCCCATGGGCCTTATCGCTGTTATGTCTGACACCTGGGAGGAAATTATCTCATCCCGCAGTTCCCCCTCCCCCCATATGTATGGCAACTAAGAAAGGAAGTAAAAAGAATATGGCTTCAGCTAAAGTTGTTTTGAGCGTTGACAGTCAGCTCCCCCTACAAAGTGAAGAGTACCTGAAAGGTATTAAGCACAAACAGAAGTTAGGTAGGTTCCTATTAGCTCCTTCCCCCTTCAGTCCCTGGTCCCTTGGGCTTCTGAGGGTTCCTGTCATGGAATTTATTTACTACTCATTCAGCCCTCACATTGCTGTTCTTTACCCAGGTAGCTTCTGATAGAGGGTATCCCTTCCATTGAACCAAGTACTGTAGCTTTCCGTTGTAGAGCCTGGAATCTAGGATTCGCTTTACCTTGTAATGGGTCTCCCCTTTCACCACTATGTGGCTTCAAATTGGCATCGATGTATTTCCTTAATTCCGCCATCTCTTTAGGAGCCATTAAGTACATTTTAGGCTTTGGTAGCTTTGCCCTAGGCATGAACTCTATTGCACAATCAGTGGGTCGGTGAGAGGGCAGATAATTGCAATCTTCCTCACTGAAGACCCCCTCTAAGTCCTGGTACTCTTTAGGTATCTGCTGGCTCCCAGGTGGGGCATCTCAGGCAAGAGTTGCAGGTTCTGGTGGCCTTGTCACCTCTGGGGTTGTAGCTTCTACAAGGTGGTCCTGCTTTGCAGTTGGCAGTGGTCCTACATCAATGACTAGCTTCCTCTGACCACCTTCCCAGGAGATTGTAGGGCCCCACTTCTCAATCCACACAAGTCTCAATATGACTGTCTGTCATTTTTGGGGTGACTATGAACCTGAGGAGTTCTCAGTGACCACAGAGGCAGGGGCCCTGCCAATTAGCATTTGATCAGGCATTGTGTGCACACGGTATCTATGATGGCTTCCACTTCACCTTGGACCCCCATTTCCAGTACTACTAACCGGACCCTAAGAGAAAAAGGGCGGACAGGCTTCCGGATCATTTGGTCATTATCCCCAGGGTTCCCCTCATTCATCTTTGGTAAGGCCTCATTGGTTGACCCTTCATTCACTTCTGGAGAAAAGGGTTATGCCTCTGCCGCCTGTTTAACAAATCCTACCTTTTCCCTTATCTCATGGGGTTCCCCCTCCTGCTCTGCTTCTGGCAAAGGACCCTTGATCCCACAGACATTTGGTGGGGGAGGGATCTCTCTCTTCGCAGATCCCGGTAGCCTTCCCTCTGCTTCACTGTGCATGCTTGTGCAGACCCTCTGTTCTGGTGGCAGATTCCTAGCCCGCTCCACTCTGGCAGGTCTGTGTGGAGGAGGGGCAGGTGTGGGGGAGAAGCCCCCCTCCTCAGCTTCCTGTTCCCTAGGTTCTGACTTAGGCGAGTTCAACTGGCTAGGTTTTCCACAGAGTTTTCGCCTTACAGGCAGAATGGGCACTACTCCTGGCCTCAGGGGAAAGCACTGACCAAGCCAGCATTTCAGCTGTGGTTCCCTTTGGGTTGCAGGGGGAGCTGACTGCACACCCGGAAGCTGTTTTACTTCCAACATCTGAGGCTGCTTTGGGGTGAACAGCTGTGTCAAGCCCAAATCCCCATTCCTCTCGTCCCTTCGTTCTCCAAAGCATCCCATAAGCGGTGACTGCAGCGACTGGGGGATGGGAGCCCCCAGCAGCCCACTCCACTGTTGGCCCACAAGTCATGCTACTGAATAGACATCAACTAATCAATAAACTGGAAATATTGGCATACAAGCAATGAAGGGATGAAAATGAAAAGAACTCTTTGGATCTTGCTCAAGAGTGCTTTTTGTTTTAACTCAGTAGTGGAAATGTGGGAAGTTATCATCCAGCCCTCTCCCAGAAAAATGAAATATCCTAGGAAATATTGAAAAGGCAGAATATTTCTCTGGATGTGAAAAGAAACATGTTTCAAAAGACAGAATAGTTGCCTATAGCTTTCTGCCCATCCCCAGCTAATGGGCCATTAAGATGGCCAGCCCAGCCCACTTTACATAATAAAGACTTCTCCTCACTGCAGCTGTAGGGGGAAGGGATATTACTCAACTGACCACAAGGCAACTGAGAACTCATCACAGCCTAGAGAGTAGCCCCCTGCATGGCACCATGGGAGTCTGACAACCAGTCAGAATACATTTCTTACACAGGAACAGGAAACAGAGAGGTGGGACTGAACAAGGTATAAAAGCCTAGCAAGCCCCTTCCTCAGCCCTTCTCTTCTTCTCCATCAACATTGAAGCACGTGATCACCTTTTCTTTTCAGGCCTCAGCCATGTGGTCCTGTCCAACAATAAACCATCTTTCCAAGCAGCCTCCATGTCTCCAGTGTCTTCTTCCCCACTTGGAGCTGAACCCAAAAGGACATTTCTTTCAACAGAAACATACACAAATGAGCAAGAAGGCAATTGTGATTTTCCAAGTATTGAATGAACTTGGGTGGATATTTATGTTTAGAGGTATCTGTTTATTTGTGGTTGCCTTCGTTTCCTATTTCCTAAAGAGGTTGTACAGAAAGCCCCGAGTTGGGGGTCCTCCTTTTTGGTTGTATGCTGAATCACTTATAGTGCCTGCCATCTGTTAAACTAGCACCTCTTTGCAATTTTTCCCATTGAGGAATGTTTGCATCTGAATAAATATTAAAGCTTGTCAGCAGAGGGCACAATAGGACATTTAAAAAGTACTTGCGTTACAGTTAACATCAGGAAAGGAAAGCTATCTAAGTAGCAGTTATTTGTCAGTTAAGGATTGTTTTTGTTTTTGCTTCAGAACCATGATTGTAATTTTTATGTCTCTGTCTGAGTATACTGGCAAAAGCCTTTTTCCAGTTCATTGAACCATTGTCAATTATCTTACAGGTAACAGTTTATTTTAAAGAAATTTTAAAGTATCTTGGTATTTTACATTTGTATCCCCCTTTTTTCCCCTGGAAGCTCAAAGTAGTATCCAGAAGGATCTCTTACTATGTTATCCCTGCAAAAACAATCCTATGAAGTAGGCTTAGCTGAGGTATGGTGGTTGGCCCATAGTCAACTACAGGTAGTCCTCAACCTACAACCACAATTGAGCCCAAAATTCATATTGCTAAGCGAGACATTTGTTAAGTGAGTTTCACTCTATTTTGCAACCTTTCTTGCCACAGTTGTTAAGTGAATCATGGCAGTTATTAAGTTACATGATTGGTAAGTAAATCTGGTTTACCCATTGACTTTGCTTGTCAGAAGGTCGAAAAAGGTGATCACATGATCCCAAGACACTGCAACCATCATAAATGTGAGTCATTTGCCAACTGTCTGAATTTTGATCACATGACCATGGGGATGTTGCAACGGTTGTGTGAAAAATGGTCATAAGTCACTTTTTTTCAGTGATATTGTAACTTTGAATGGTCACTAAATGAACTGTTGTAAGTCAAGGACTACCTGTAACAATTTTCAGAGTCAAGCTGGTAACTTCTAAGTCACACATTAACACCTTAACTACTACACAAACATCCCCTATATATTGACACCATGTTATTTAATGCCAAAATTACAAAGGATTAGGATCAGTTTCAGAGATATGCATAGCCTAGTCATGTTTCAAGAAGATTCAAAATATTGGCCAGAGGCAGGTGTTTCCTAAAGTTAAACTTTGCTAAGCATCCCCTTTCCAATGGCCCCGTGAAGCATCTCTTTTTTAATATATATATTTATTAAAAGGTTTTATGTAAGATTAAAAACTATGGATACATAAAAGAAAAAGTAGAAAAGTAGAAAAGTAGAAAAGTAGAAAAAAGTAGAAAATATAAAAGAGAAAGAATAGCTTCCAAACTTCTTTGCAGCAGTTACAGGCATAGTAATTGCCACCTCCAACCTCTCAAAGTTCCATACTCTCCAGCCTCTCATAGTTCCCATAAACAAAACTTTTTAATCAATAAATCCCCAAATCACCTATTCATTATCCATTTGCATCAAAAATGTCATCAGGGGTTTCCATTCTTTTATTAAAGTAATTGTTGTTCTGTTCTTAATTTAAAAAAAAAAACAATTTAGCCATTTCTGCAAGCCCTACCATCTTCACAATACATTCTTCCATTATGGGTATACTTAGTGCCAGAGTATGTGGATCTCCAAAAATGGCAGCATGCAGTCTTAAAACTAATTATAATATTTTATTTGAATTAAAGCCTCATTCCATGTCATTCATTTTCCATAGGGACAGTTGTGCAACCTGTAGTTGGAGGCAAGCTCTTTTTCTCAACCTTTTTTAATTATTAGTTGTGTCTCCAAGATACATGTTCCATGTCCTTTCACCAAGTCGTTCAGAAATTAAAAATGCATGGTGATCCTCTCTAAAAATTGAAATTTCCTGCATATTGACTTAAAGCCTAAATATTTCTGATTTATAGGCTTCAGGAGCATCTTTATTCGAGGTGTATAGCTCATTCCACCAGGACAATGTCAATTCAGCAGCTCTTTTAACTAAAGCACCATTTTCAGAAATTTGTACAGCAATGACCTGGTTGTCCTTTTTCCACATATGTCAATAATTATATAATTGATACATATGCATCTATCCTAACTCCCTTTGTAAAATGAGTTTTACAACATGTGGTTTCACTAGGGTGACCAGACGTCCCGGATTTGGCGGGACAGGCCCGATTTTTCATCATTTTTCCCGCGTCCCGCCCGCTTCTCAAAAAACCCNACTCTCAAATGCTGGGATTCAGAATGTACATCCCGGCCCCCCCTGCGATAGAGAAAGAAATGGTTGCACCCAAAATACAGATACTCGGTGGAAACTTTTCCCGGGCTGCCTTAAAGGGCGTGGCTTCTGGTTCCTCGAAGAGCCAATCAGGGAGGCGGGTTTCAGAGGATCCCGGGAAACCCTCCCGGCTCTCCCCCCCCGGTGCATCTCTTCTTGCGGCGCTTGCATGGAGCAACCTCGGCGATGGAGACCCGTGCAGGAGCTCCTGCGCAGCTTTTACGCGGAAGTGCTGCCGCTGGAAGCCTTCGTGCGGCGCTTGCAGAGGCGGACTCTTGCAAAGGACCCAACGCAGCCCCTCGTGCAGGACGGAGATCCCGGCTGCTACCGTAGCCTGGTGAACCAGTGCCTGGTGGGGCGGCTGGCTGCGTGCAAAGCCCTCCCTGCCCATTTCAGCGCCCAGCAGGTAAGTGAGCAGGTTTTGCATTGGACCCGGATTGCTTTCTGCCTCCCCAGAAAGCCCGTTTTAGGGTATGGTCACCCCGTTGTGTCCCCGGGGCCAGCCAAGTTTTGTCTGCGTCAAAATGCAGAAAGCGCTTCCCTGGAGAAATAATGCGCGTTATGGTTTTACTGTGCAGTTTTCTCTTCCAATTCCTCCCCGCTGCTTGAAGTGGGCTTCCTCCCGCCTATGGTAGGCTGCCCTGCTTCCAACTTTGTTCTTCTGTGAACCAATAAAGGAGAATATTTGCAGCTCGGGGTTGAAAATGAGGGGGGGGGGTCCTTGGTGCTCTCTCTGAGCTTCTTTCCCTGCGCCCCTTTCATTACTCAAGACTGGGTCACATCAGCGGTGGAACGGTTTTTAAACAATGGAGTTTATATATGGTGGTTTAAAAATTACAGCTCTAAAGTTAACTTAAAATTGCTAAAGATGTGTAGGAAGTTATCACCCAGCCCTCTCCCAGAAAGATGAAATATCCTAGGAAATATTGAAAAGGCAGAATATTTCTCTGGATGTGAAAAGAAA